ACTTTTTTATATATGACTGTAAGGAAATGAAGATATTATTGGGATGTTATTCTGCTCTCATGACCTTGACCATGAACTGAGTTATTTATTTTATAAAATAAGACATTTTAAAAAGTTATAATAATTTTAGACAGTGTTTAAACTAATTGTGATTATGATTTTTGACATTATCAAACATCCCTATGTTCCTCCATTCATTTGATTGTTTTGAGATTTTTTTCACAAAAATGTTTTCTTTTTGTCCTTTATTTTAAAAGATTTAATGTTTTTGGTGGGGTTAGTTCAAACCTCACATCCAGGTGCGTGTTATGTGTCATTCAGTGACAGTTTGAGATGCTTTTGGATTATCTTGTTTTTTGTAATTATTTGACAAAAGTCAGAATATAATAGAACTTTTTGGGTACTTTTTGACATAAATATGATACTGCATTTTTGGTGAATATTATACAGATCCATAATTTGTTTCATATTTTTCACAATTTATGTTGTTTTTGATGATTTCTTGGGATTCAGTTGTGTGGAAAAATATAGAAAAGTATCAAAAATTCATTAAAGCAGTGTAACATTTAACTAATTTCATCACTTTGATAATTCATTAGTGACCTAATGTAGTGGTCCCTGATCTAGTGGTAAGAGAGTGAGTCTTCTAAGTGAATAACCGCGGGTTTAAATGCTGTCTCTTGTGCATTTTTTACACGCAGGGCGAATGTCGTAACTTCATCAAGGTTCTGCTCAGCCACCAAGACGGTCTGTTTGTGTGTGGAACTAATGCCTTCAACCCACTGTGTGCCAACTATACAGTGAGTATTCTTCTTTCTGTTGGCTGGTCAGTTGTCTGTGCATCTGTCAGGCTTTTTATTTTTATTTTTTTTCATTAATGACTTTTTCCTCCTGTTGCAGAGAGACACTCTGGAAATGGTGGGAGAGACTGTGAGCGGAATGGCTCGCTGCCCGTATGATCCACGACACGCCAACGTGGCTTTATTCGCAGGTAGTGTCTCGAGTCCTAAATAGGTTTGTCGCAGATTTCAGACTCGGTTTCCAGCCACGGCAGCTGAACGTTACCGAGGGGGTTGTGTTTACCTTCACAAAAGATTTATAGTCAGACCTGTCGCTGCATTGCCAGTGTGGTTTTAATCTTCCTGACCTTGTGCTTTCGCTTCATCTCTTTCGTCTCCCTCTCCTCCTCCATGTTCGTCTCTCTCACTCTGAAGATGGAAGCCTCTTCACCGGCACCGTGACAGACTTCCTGGCCATCGATGCTGTCATATATCGAAGTCTGGGTGACAGCCCAGCTCTCCGAACCGTCAAGCATGATTCCAAGTGGTTCAGAGGTAGAGTGAGACGCAGACACATGAAAAGATTGTCTTTAACAGAACCAGGTAACAGGTGGATGCAGGCATGATTAGAGCTGCTTTTGGGAAATGTAATATAATTGGCTCACAGACAGTGATGTATTGAGTTCAGCCTGAATCTGCAGACTCACAGTTGAAAAAAAAAAAAGTCTTTGTTTAAAAAGTTGAGACTGTTTCCCAGGGAGAACATTAGACGCCGCCGAGCTGTAACAGTGCTGGATGAATAAATGATAAATAATCCGTAGCCTCTTGTCCATATTGTGATAAATTAAACAGGACATGAATCTTTAATGAGAGCGACCGGTGGACAGCAGTGGACCATGTTGATGTAGATGTTATTACAGCACAATGTCAGACGCCGTGGAGCATTAAGTTTGGCCTCAGGCGCTGCGTCACCGCTGTTGCTCAGCGAGTTTGTCTGAAAATGCTTTGTTCACACTGCTTTTCAGAGCCGTACTTTGTGAGCGCCATGGAGTGGGGCCCACACATTTACTTCTTCTTCAGAGAGATGGCCATGGAGTTTCATCATCTGGAGAAGGTACCTTCATTTTTTTTTTTTTTTTGTGGTCCAGCACCCCTGAATTTTTAATCAACTGTGTTTTTCATTTACCATCCAGGACGTACTGTTGGATACCTTTACACTGCAGCACAGTGTCGTCAGTAACCTGAGTCGAGCTCACAGACCTGTCTGTGCTCAGCTCAGGTGTGCTAGAGGCTGAATATCTCAGCTCAGTGCTGGCGGAAAATGAAAAGACACATATCATTTCTATGATCTAGGAGTAGTTAAAAAGCACTTCTGTTTCTGGATCGTCAATGGAGACGATTTATATAAAAGTGCATTTCCAGAAAAGAGCAATAACAACTTAAATCTGTAATAACTTAATGCACCTAAAACTTTTTTTATGAGGGAGAAAAAAAAAACTGCGTATTTATTTATTGACCAACTTAAAACTGAAACCAAGTTCATTTGGAAGTTCATCTCTCTCACTGATCTAAACTCTGTCTTTCTCTATTGTCCATATGTCATCATTTAGGAATAGATTATACATATAGATATATATAGGGTTTAGTTAACCTGTTAGCTACAACTTAGCTAAAAGATTCAGACTCAAAATATGAAACTTGAATGAATTTACACTGCAGGGTTCTTTTAAATATTTCCAGCAAAGGGTCCAAACCAGCATAGGACACGTTCTTCACATACAACTACTTCTCTCTGGTGACTTTTAGACCCTTTTTTTATACTTTGTCTTTGTGAGACAAACAACACTTTCTCCATCCGTAGGTCATGGTGTCCCGCGTGGCCCGTGTTTGTAAGGCCGACCTGGGCGGCTCTCAGCGTGTCCTTGAGAAACAGTGGACCACGTTTCTGAAAGCACGTCTCAACTGCTCCATACCCGGAGACTCGCACTTCTACTTCAACCTGCTGCACGCCACCAGTGAAATTATTCACATGCAGGGACGAGACGTCATCCTGGGTCTCTTCTCCACTCCACCAAACAGGTGCTGAGACCAAACATGACTTTGACGAACATAAACACAAACACTGTTTATGTCTCATCGCCCCCTCTCTCTCTCGCCCTCTCTCTCTCACTGGTAGCATCCCTGGCTCTGCGGTGTGCGTCTTTGACATGCAGCAGCTCGCTCATGTCTTTGAGGGACGCTTTAAAGAGCAGAAATCCCCAGAGTCTATTTGGACTCCGGTGCCAGACGAAGCTGTGCCCAAACCGAGGTAATGTAATGCAAAGAGCAAAACTTGGGCAGAACACTGCAGTGCTGCTGCTGCTGCCGCTGCTGACGCTGCTGCTGCCG